TTTATAGTTCCAATCAAAATTTGTTGGTTTTGGTGCTAATGGGGTTTGGTGGATGGACCTCATTAAAGACCCCCTTGGTGCACGTGTGTTTTATTTTTTGTTGTTTTTGAAAGCATTAGATTTCTGTTTGTAAAATTTGGGCTTGTTTTCAAAACAAGGTAGTTAAAAAAAAATGAAAACAAAATCACAAAAACAAAAAATAAAATGCTTACCAAATGCAACCTAAATTAAAAATTAATTATTTTCAATTTTTCTACATTGTCGATAAACCACTTATCATTGGAAGTTTTTTTAAACCAATTCTTATCTCTTTCCCTGCTCATTATCTATCCACACCCACCTAACTAAAAAATTGTCCAATCACAATTTTTCATAATTCGGGGTGAGCAGAGGTAATAATGGGAATAAATATTGGGTGCGGTTACACTACGTCAGCCGTGTCACGTGGTGTAACTATCTAATAGAAAAATTACAAAATAGATAAAAATGAGGCCTACTTTCTTATATGAAGGTGGTTATTTATTACATGGTTGAGAGCTTATGAATTTTTGTGGGGCTCACTTACAGACTTATTCACTTATAATGGACGGTTATACCGTGTGACACTATTGACGTGATGTAACTATTACATCCAATATTTTATTCGAATTTGGTTCGATGTTAAGATGAAATAAAGATGTAAATAGTTCATTGCATGAGCAAAGTGAAAACTATTCAATACATTTTTTTTGTCTTTTTTCTTTGATAGGTCACCTACCATTATAAAAGACATATATTTCATAGAATAAGTGAGACTCATTGTTTACGAGTGAGTTCCTTATTCATTAATAATAAATAATTGATCCAGCAAAAATAAAAAATAAATTGTAGAAAATAGTTAAATATATAAGGGTAAAAAACAAAAAAAAAAACCTTGAACCAACTACAAAATCTAATAGAATACGTTTATTGTAACGACGCAATAATTGCACACACTAATTAAGCACACACTATAAAATAAATATTTTTTTTAATTACAAAATTTACCCTTCATTTTCCTCTCTCACATCTTTTTCTCTCTCTCTTAAGACCTGCAAATTCATTTTTTACCCATCAAACAACTTAATTTTTCAAAATCTAAGGTCATTTCTTAACTCCTTGACCCCAAATTAACTAGACCCAACCCCCATTTGAAGCTTTAACAAGTTTTTCAAAGTTTTGATTTTCAAGTTTCCAAACATTAATGAGTTTCTTCTGAAAGGAATCATATAATAAACGCATCAAAATTTAAAAGTAAATATTAATTTCTCATTTCCAAGATTTATTCGTATTTAATACAAATCGAAAATCCTAGATCTATAGAGAAAATTAAGAGTTACTTCTTGAAGCGTGCTTTTAACAATTTTCAAGTTTTCTCCAAAAATCTTTAATCTTCACATATGAATTAGGTCGTTACCCCAAGCCTTGCAATCGTTTGGCCTTTATCGGTATTCACAACAATTGATAAACTTGAAGGATCTACCTCAACTTTTGATAAACTAATAGAGCGAGAGAACGGTGGATGAATTTTTTTGTACTAGCAAGAAAGAGTTGTTATCTCATATATCCACCTCCTACATGAATGTATTTATAGAGCGTTAAAATACTCTAATCCTAGTTTGGGTCTAGTTTTAATTATATCATAATTACATATAACCTCTTTATGAACCCTTAATTATAATAAAGTCCATAATTAATTTTTAATTCGGTTTTCACCCCAATTAACTCTTAGTTTATTTTCTCTCATTTATTTTTTTAGTTTCCAATCAATTCTATTGCGTGTGACCCTATAAGTTCAACTATACATGGTTGTAGGCATCCGATATTAACTATAAGTAGCGTCTCAAATTAGAACTCTTTCTAATTTAGCTTGAATTAAAACTCTTCTAATTATCCCTTTATGAAGAACAATTAATATATTTATATTAATTTTGTTCTTCGAACTTTTATTAATCATGAGTGACACCTAGCAACTTATTGTAGTCAACCTTCGGATAACACGAAGTAGATAAAGAACTCATTCAATCTATAGTTGTCATGCAATTCAATCATTTTATCACACAATGTTCCAATTAAAATACTAGGGGTATGAAATCACTGTCAAACCCCTAATGTGTTCGATATTAGGATTATGACTTCTAATGATCAATTAGAAACTTGTTTCTAATTGTCATTCTACCTTGGCCAAGGATTCCTTGAGTCATTTCCTAGAAGATCATATAAGACTTTCTCTTTTTATTTACTAAGAGTAATAGATTTCATGTTGTACCCTCATAAGTCTCTATGCATGTCTAATTATGTCTAACAATACAAATTCAAGTCACATGATTAGTATATAATTATGTTGTATAGCTAAAACATAGAAATCCATGCACAAGATAACTATGGTGGTTCTAAGAATTAGTTGCATAACTATAACTTTAGAATTTAACATTGAGAGGTATGTAAAACTCTATATGAAAAATCCTACATTAGTTAATTATCACGTTTAGTGTACTTGTTCTCTAATAAACACCTACATACCTGCTTAAGTGTTCCTACACTAGTGACTTGGATGAGTCACCTTATATCAAATATGGGCAAACATAGTGTATGCTAGTCTATTCGAATTACATAGTGCTCATATAATAATCTTATAACTACGAACATTTAAGAGTTAAGTACTAAGAAGTATAGATCTTCTCTTCTCAACTCATTAAAAAACTATCTTTTTAACTTATACTCTATGGATTATATCATGCATATTAAAATGAAATAAATCATAAATATGATAAATAAACTTACCATTTTATTTAATTTAAGTAATGAATGTTGTTAGTACAATAACAAAACATCATCTATATAATTAGTCTTAGAACATACTACTAACAATCACCACACACACACCCCTCTTGGCTATGGCTTTCAAACACTCAAATACTCTGTACTGCAACTCCATAACACAACCCAAGCCTCAATTGAGAAAGAAGGATCGTTTGCTATCTAACCCATTTAAAAATCTATAACCACATTAAGCTTCAAACAAAAAATTGAGCACACATGAAACTTAAATCTAACCATACTAATGAAATCGTCATGAAAAAATAAGTCTGACAAGGTTGAGTTTATGTATTGTAAGCCTCTGAATCAAAATTCTAAAATTCCTTATCTTCTCCTTTTTCAAAGCCCTCTCTTTCTCTCTCCCCCCTTTCGTTTTGGCCTTCTCCATAGCTTGTAGAGGAATTTGTGGGGTGTAATAATGGGGTGCGCCTATAGTGGTAGAAATGTGCTAATTACAAGTTTTGTTTTTTAAAGATAAAGGTTCTATAATAATGGCATCGCAAAGAAAATTAGATTATAATCAAGGGTGACTTAGTCTTTTTGTATAACTGTTACCTCTGTTAATATTTGCAATTTGTTCACTAGTTAGAAGGGTTTAAGTGAAACATCTAAAAGTATAGGGGTGAAGCGAGATTGAAACATTCAGGGTTTCTTTTACCCAATATATAAATCTGACCAGTCCTATTTGGATTGTTTGCATCCAGTGTGCCCAACTTCTTGGATCATTCAGAGGTGCGAATTGTTAGGGGTATTAAAATATGACATGACGAGTTCACACAATACGAATACGATATAAAATTAGAGAATTTGCATCTTTTTTAAACTATCAATGTCGCAAACGAGTACATTTGACATAACACGATTAATAAATGAATTGAGTATAGTGAAATTAATCAAATAAAATATACGACATGATTCGTTTATATATGGATTATACACGATTTAAACACAATACAAAATTAATATAATACAATTTATAAATATAAATTAATAAATAAATATTTTTAACATAAATTAGCTTTAGCTGATAATTGAGCATGATGTACTAGGAAACTCTCTTTGATCATGCCATCTTCAAGGGTGTGTTTGGATAATCGGCATGGATAGGATTTTTTGTATCCTAACCTATCTCACCTCAACCCACTCAGGCACTTAATTGGATGAGTTATGTATGCTATCCAACCCAAGCCATTGTTTGGCAAGAACAATTGAATTGGATGGCCTTTCCCTTGACTTTTATAGACATTTACCATTGTACCCATTGATATGAAGACCACAAAACACCAAAAAATTGGGGAAGTTTTGCATAGACGGAGAATACCCACCATCACCACAGGAGTAATCCCCACCACCACCACAACAGAAACCCGAAGACCACCATCATTGCCACAACAGAAACACCGAAGACCACCACCACTGCCACAACAGAAACACCAAAACCACCATAGAAACACCCACCACCATCACCACAAAAATGATTCAAATCTGAGAAATATAGGAGTATTAGGGTCAAAAGCACCCATCATCACATTTCAGATCTAAGAGATAGAGAAATTAGGGTTCAAAATCATCCACCATCGTGGTGGTGCGAGTGACTGTAAACGATTGAGGTTAGGGGTGGTGCAGGTGAAGTTCTCTTCTTCGTTCAGTCCACTTAGGCACCCAAATCCATCCCAATAGAACTGTTGGGCTTCAGCTTCATCTCCTTCACAGAGAGGGACAGAGACACTAGAAAAACATAGAGAGCAAGAGATATAGGATTCGTTGCCTTTACAAAGCAAGACAGAGAGCTCTCAGGAGAGGTGGGTAAATATGTCATTATCCTTTCATAACCCATTGGCTGGGATTGAAACCCACGAGGGAGGTGGGTTAATTTTAACCCATGTAGCGGGGTTAAAAATGACTGTAGCACCCAAGTTAAGGATAGACCCGAGATTTATATCTTGACTATTTTTTGCTTCCCAAACAAAAGGTTTATAGGACCCATTATTTTATTACCCTATCCTTATAGAGGTTAACCCATCTTAACCCACTACCCAAGCACACCCAAAAAAATTGGTACATTTCATAATGTTTCTAGTTAAAATGGAAGACAAATTAAAAATATAAAGGAACCAAAAAAAAAAAAAACAAATTTCAGGCGACAAACGAAAGAAAAGAGAGAAACGGTCTTCGTTAATGGCGACAGAGTTCTCATACCGATCTTCTGTTCTTCAGAGATCCCTCCATTCCTCCTCCACCAATCTTCTGGTACTTCCCTCCCTCTCTCTCTCTTAATTGACATTGAATACATATACATATATGAGCATGACATATTAGGATTTAGATCTGATTATGAATCAGAACTGTTTAATTTATCTGGAATTTGTTTTTAGAGAGAGAAAGGAAGAATGCTTTGGAGAGAGACAATTTTGTTATCTGAAATCAAGGGGTTTATTGTGATTGGATTTTGTTATCAAATGCTATATTATGAAGAAACGCTAGGATATAATCAAGTTTTTTTTTTTTGAAGGTAAGGAGAGTTTTCAGGGAGAAATGATATAAATGTATAGATAAGTATTTGTGTATGATATGCAACGCAGAGAGACGGATAGAACTTATGTTTGTTGTGGAAAGTTGAATTGTTAGTTTCTTAGTTTCATTAGATCATAAGAGTGTATCTGTGATTGAATTTTGTAATCAAATGCTTGTGTTTTCCCTCGTTTTTATTTTGGGCGTGTGGATATATGCTGAATTTGTGTGTGTTATGATGATGATATTAGAGTGTGAGAACTTGAGAAGTGAAAAGAGCTAGAGAGAGAGACTTACAGAGGGAGAGACAAATTGGGTGATGTCTTTTGACGGAGACGAAAAGCAATGGAAATGTGGAAAGGCCGTGACGGTGAATCTACAGCGAGTCAGTTCTATTGTTCGCGACATTGGGGAGCCTTGTCTTCATCAATCACCTATAAAGGTTGTTATATCTGCACCCTCACCAACTTTATCTTTGCATTTTCATTCCTTTTGGAAAATTTTCCTTAACTACTCTTTAATCGACAAAAAATTCTGTGGATTTGTTTTTGGCACATGATTCTTTGGATTCGTCATGGCAATTTTAACAATATATGGCTATTTTAGTTTTTTTTGGTCTGGTTGTGTATGCATTGTGGGAACATCAAAATGAGACATGCAAATATTAGCTATTTTCTAGGCTTCTTATAACAATACCCTTATGCAGTGAAAAATACATGGATGACAAATATCAACATATACATTTTCTGCTTTACAGTTTATGGTGCTATACACACCCAACCCAGGCTGATTATATTTTTAGCTGAAATTGACTGATTTGTTAATTCATTTGTAATGTAGTTCTTTTTAGCATGAACGTTCAATTTATATTCAAATTAGCATGACCACTTGAGGTTTAGTCTGGAAATAAATCTATTCAGATGAGATTCAATACTATACAGTATTCACTTATGTTTTTGCTTAGTTTTGTGCAGTATAGAAGGGTTTACTTTTGCCTTATCAAGCTCATTAATTCGTATCCGGTGAATGGGATGCTTAATGATGGGAATTTAAAGCATTGCCATTAGTGTTCTTGTCACCCGTCTTTTATTTGCAAAAATGATTGGGTGGGGTTAGACCAGGTATGTTAAATTTTTCAGGCAATATCAGTGGGTGAGTTTTTATTGGTAGTTATAGAGGATGCCGGGTGATCTGGATGTATAAGTTGAATTACTATTTGTACAATGTAGACAACTCCTTGTTTATTTATAGTCCTGCACTTGATAATTTGCAACTGGCGCAATTAAGATGGGAATGGTTCTTAAGTTTCTCTAAAAATGGATTTGTCCCAAAAATTCCAAGATTGGTTTCACAAGAAAGGTGTTGGGCTTTTTTTTTTTTGGATAAATAACGAACTTCATTGAGAGCTCAAGGAGGTCCAACTGTAGTGCAAAAGACATTTAGATGAAGCGGGGAAGAAAAATCAATTGAAACAAGTCGGCCACAACTATACTTCTTTATCTCCTCACAATACACAAGAGAGCCAAGAAGAAAATAATTTTTTGAAAGCCAGTGTTAAAGATGTGTAATTTCATTCTTCGCATGAATGCCTACTATGCACGATGGCATGTGCACTCTAAGGGATGGGCATTCTGAGGACAATTCGTGTATAAGTTTCATAAACGGTTTATTTGGTATATTGGTTTTTGAAATGGTGATATACTTTTTTGTCTTCATGTGGCTTATTGGCTCAACTGCAACATCACGGGTTCAAGAATGGGCACCTTGTTCGAAAACATAAGTGATGATGCATCTCCTCCCAAAGCAGAGGAGTATACCTAGGGAATTATGTGTTCATGGTTTTTTACTGCCGGGTGTACTTGGGGGATGAAAGCATATCTTTGGTAAACTATAGGCTCAATTAATTCTTGTAGATTCTACAATCCAAAAAGGTGAGAATGAGATGGGTGTAATTGGACATCAGTATAGTCTGTTATGTACTGACATCACTATAGTCTGTTATGTATTGCACTTGTGTGCTTGATAAACTTTTTTTGATGGTGGATTCATGACGTAAGGGAGAAGGTTTCCTTTAGGCTAGGCTCCATTTCTATCTATTTTCTGTAATCAATTTTCTCCCCTTTTGGATGGTATTTGATAAAAAGGTTTTCTCATTAGTGGTAATACTGGAGCAAGAATCTCAAAGTTTAGGTATGTACCTATTTCACTCATTCCAACACTCTCTTGCGTTCATAAGTGTCTTGCATGATTAGGAGGTACAGGCCGAATAGATGGAGCTTATTGATGGTGTAGTGGGGTTGATTGGGCAGATGAAATCTGGTGATCAAGGATGGTGGGTCATGGGGAAACCATGACTTTCTGTGGGGACTGTGCGGCAATCTAGAATCCCTTTGAAGGTGTTGTTCTTTGCGTGGATAGCAGTGCGTGAGGCCATTTTGATGAATGATACTTGGAGGAAAAAGCACCAGACCATGGTGACTTGATGCGTTGAGTGCATAGAGTTCAGTGAAAGGATCAATCATCTGCCCTTGTGCTGTTTAATATTGAGAGTTGTGGAATCTCTTTTTTGAGCTGTTTGGGGAAGACTTGGTCATGTTGATTTTTGTTAGCAGACTTGTTGATATGTTTGTATGCAGATCATTTGAGGGCGTTGACCTTCCCTTGCATTTAACTATAGGAGTTTATGAGAGCACTTCGCTTTTTGGTCAAAGAGGCCTGTTCCTATTTCCTTTGATTTTTGGTAGATTTTGGGATGCTTTCTATTGATGTACAGTTATAGGTGGCTAGCTTTTGTTTACTGCTCCATATACCTGGGTTTCACCCCTTTATCTTCCTGCCCTTTATGTAATTTCTCTTTATACACACACACACACACACACACACACACACGTGTGTGTGTGTGTGACTTTGGGTTTCATCCTGCTCTCTTCCTGGCATTCTTTATCTAGTTTCTCTTTTTTTCTTTTGCTTTTCAGGCATATGCGTGTGTATATACACCATTGTTAGATGAATTTATATCATAGTAATCAATTCATTTTTCGGTATTTTGATATGTAGAGATGAAATGTTGTACGTTATGTATTTTGTTGCTTTGTCCTTGCGATTTAGAAAGGGTAATATGTTTGCCTTATGTGCAAAATTGTGTTAGCAATTATTCTCTACTGTAATAATGATGCAGATAAGCAAAATGCTTAAGCCAGAGAAGTGGCAGGCAATCTTTGATAGTGACGGAAAGGTTTTTGGTTTTCGGAAAGCATTGAGATTGATTGTTTTGGGGGTAAGTGTTTTCATTGTTGTCCTATATCTCATACTCTATGCGCAATTGGTTTCTTCTACAATGTAATTGAATTTTTTCTGGTTACTTGCTTCGACATCTTTGTACGCCAACGTGACTATTTATGCTTTGGCAGTAGGGAAGCATGAAGTGCTTTTTGATAGAGCAACAAACCTCTAGGTTTTACATCTAATTCATTTTATTTTCAGAATGATTTAGTTCTTTTTTGAAAATTTTAGGTTCACATTTTTGGGCACAAACTCATCAACCATTGTAACGGGTTTTGCCTTTCACTATTTCAGGAACTTTTATTTTGGATTTCCAATAATCTTGACTCTTGATAGTCTACTTTTTAGATGTGTACACCCACCAAGTAAAGCTAGTGGGTTGGAGATGATGTTAGTCTGGAATTGACAAAATAATTCATTTTCTATTTAGGCACTTCAATTGTGGTGAATTGATTGTGATACATTGGGAATATGAAATGGGTTGTTTTTTCAAAATTTGTCATAAATCAATATAATGCGAAAGTATGAACATACATGCTACTTAATGTATGCCTGCACTCAATAAGGATAAGTATTATCAAGCAATTAAACTTTCAAGCAGAAGAGCACCAATGGCATACCCTCTGGAACAACCAGCACAAATATTTTTAAATCAAGCAGTGAGCTATCTACAGCATTATTAATGGAGAAAATGGCTAATACGAATTTTGAACCCTGAAAAGCTTCAACAATTTGCTAAACTGATGATACATTCTGCCAGAAAAAGGTTACCTGGATCGTGGGTCGCTTGGGGTACGTGGTACGGGTACGCGGTATGACACTTTCTTAAGTATGTGGTACGATGGGAGTGGACTTAGTTGGTACATTATTTGGGGTCGCAATTCGTTTTAGGACTTTTATTTAGATTGTTTTCACTATTATACAACATTATATGTTATAAAACATCTATAAATACTGAGTCAGTTACCATTTATTTGATATTTTGCATGATTTTCTATTATCTAAAACAATATATTTTATAAATTTATATGCATGTAATCAATTAATATGTATTTTATATTTGTGCTATATATTCGAATGCGAATTGATTTAGGGTTAGTATTACAATTTGGGATCGTGAATGCACTCCGTTTGGGATCGATGTACCTAGATCATGGGTTGTCATAGGTTTAGTGAATTTTGGTAACCATGTGCCAGAACCAAAATACCCAAGTTAATGATAATACCCGTCTGCATAAAGATTTAGTGCATGCATTATCCATTCCTGTCGGTTTGCCAAAGCAGGAATTCATTTTATCATGCCTTATGGCCTTTGATATCCTTCTACAATTTAGTTGTATAAAGAGCCTTCTACATTGACTAACCATACATCTATATGCTGGTTGCGGTCACTTCGCAAATGCTATATAATGAATCAGGACCTTGCCGTCTGACTGTGATGACTAGTTTCTGATTGCTGTTTTGGGATTCATCAAGCGGCAGAGTATTTTTTTTGATAGGCGACAATATTTTTACACTACAGGGGAGGGGTAGGGGATCCGGGGAGACGAATTGAGGGATTTATATATATATATATATTATGTATATAGCATTGTTTCCTATTGGGGTTTGGTTTTACATAGCATTCTACAATTTTGTGTCAGGTGACCTCAGTATACTTTATCTGCCACATGCCGCAAAGGTTGCTAAACACAGTTATCTCCCATTTGAATAAAGTTATTATCTAAAAAAAAAATGCATTTGATTGATTACTCTTTCTTTAGTTATGTTTCATTGCCCATTTAAAATCCAACTATTGATATTGACTTGTTGAGTTAAAACAACAAAAAAGGGGAAAAATTAAAAATAAAGAAACAAGACAAAACACTTATATCTGTTGTGCTTATGCCTTAGAACTGTCAATGGAATAGATTCTCTATTCAGAACTCATCTCATGAGATGCACACACCAACTTACCCTAGTGAATTGTCTGAATGCCTGTTGTAAACTTGTTCTTGTCTATTTGCAGTTATTTAACCATCACATGGTAGGGCCAAATCTATCTGAATATATTTTTTGTGGATATTCATATTTTATTATTTTATATATTGTTTGTAATCCCAAACAGTTATATAATGCCTGCTGTATATATTTCCCCTTTTCTCCCTTTTTTCCTATCCCCTTCCTCTGAAATGCAGCTTCAGTAACATATAAGATCAGAAGTGATAAGATCTGCCATATCCGGTTATTTATTTGATATCCTCTTAAGAGATCTTAAGGAGGAGTGGCAGCTTTGCACGCTTGGTATTTTTGATCTATCTGATTGTTCTTGTTATTTTTCTGGCTGTGGATAATATTCTCGCTATAAAACTCCGTTTTGATTTTTTTTTTCAAATTTTCTTATGAGTATTTTTGTTGAAAATGATATGTTTTTGTTGAAATAGTCTTATTCGTTATGGTATTCTGGATAAGAATATGAATGCCTGAATTGCTAAAGCGCACTTTATCTTGCTGGTTAGGGCGTGGATCCATCCATAAGGCCAGAGGTTTGGGAATTTCTTCTTGGTTGTTATACTTTGGGTAGCACTGCAGAATATCGAAGGCAATTGAGGACCGCTCGGAGGTTTAGGCCTATCATTTTACCACTCTATATTACATTGTTGATAAATGCCTGTCTTCTAGTTTCTTTGGTTGCTTTAGTTGTCAATGATTAAAAAAGATTCTTATCAAGTCTAAATCCCAACTATTTGGGGTCGGCTACCTCCAACATCTAAATATGTTATTCTAAATAATACCCCCCACCCCTTTTTTCTGATTATATATACGTTACAAAGTTATAGTAATCAATTTCTTTTTGACATTTACCTTTCCTGTCAAAGCGTGGTAGCATAGGATCTGACATTTTTACATGTAGTAGTTCTCATCTCGATGATTTTGTTCAATTTGCACCAAGACTCAAAATTTTGTTTTGTTGAGTGTCGGTTAGCTTGGAATTGAAACAGTGAAAAAAATTGGGGCATACTTTGAAACATGAATTATACTTGGGTAGAAAGCAAAGAGTAGACAAATAACAGTCTTGTGCATGTTCAAGCACACACCCATCGACACAAAGGGACAATATTGTGCAATGGAGCAGCAGAGGAGGATGTGAATTAATTGTGAAAGTGCTGCTAAACAACATTTTATCAGTGAAAAGAAGTACTGAAGAATATTTTGATGGTATACTTTATTTATTTAATATTGAACTGTCATAATCAAAGATAATTGCGTTTACACAAAGGAGATTTTAGGCACAAGGTACAAACAACATAGTGCCTAAAACAACAGCTAATGAGTTCAGCTAGAGTTATTTGCCAACCGAGCATTGCAACAAAGTCTTTTCATGCTCATTTCCACTTATTTACCTTATTTACTATACCTCAGAGGAATTGGAGATATTTTGATACATTTTTGGATTCACTCTTTTTCCTCCTTTTCTGAAACAATTAGATACTGTTTTTCTGAACTTTCTTTATGGCTGCAATTCAGACATAAAGACCCGACCATTTTGTGAAAAATTTTGTGCAGGGAACGTTACAGGGACCTTATTAAACAATGCCAAATGATGCATTCAAGCATAGGAACTGGTTCTCTTGCCTATGTTGTGGGTCTAAAGTCATGGACATGAGGACAATGGCCAAAGATGATGAGAGACAGGAAGTGGGCATCTCAAGTAGACGAGATTCCAATGTTCATGCTAACATTTTAGGGAATTACTGTGATAGAGACAATAATTGTACTGATAAATCATATGCATGCCAAAGGGCAAGCTCTAATGATTCAGCGGATCTTGACACCGTGAGAGGAAGCACAGATGATGCAGCATATGACTCTTCTTGTTTCATACCTACTTCTGGTCCATTCAACTGCAGTTCCCCAAATACTGGGAGTGAAGCACATGGATCACAATATGAAATTGAAAGTTTTTTGATTTTCCTCCTTTACCTGTTACAGATTTGTTTGAGAAGGGCAAAGATATGAAAGGACTTGAATTGCATAATGATAGACTTTCAGCCCATCGTAAACTGAGATTCGAAGATAAGGATATGCACAGTTTTCAAATCAATAATAATGTAGATCTAGTTATGGAATCAAATGGGTCACCAGTCAATGATGTCTCATGTCGTAGAAACTCAGAAATTGAAATTGTTCATCCTAACGTCCTTGAACCCATATCGATGTCCAACAATGTGGAGTACAAAACAGACATAGTTAATGGCCTAAGAATATCTGATGCGCCAGAAACTCCGGTTATGAATGCTTTCCCATCTCAAGGAGGGACTGTTAATGAAGAAAGAGTATCCGAATGGCTCTGGACACTGCACCGCATAGGTAAATTAAGTATTTATTGGTCAATTTATCCTATACAAAAGCAATGATTCACTATTTATGCCATAAATAATTTTCTTATTTTTAGGTCTGAAAAGTTTTGTTTGTTTTCAGTTGTTGATGTAGTTAGAACAGACAGTCATCTTGAATTCTATGAAGAAACAATAAATTTGGCTAGAATGTCAGATATCCTTGCCGTTTATGCATGGGTGGATCCTGCAACAGGATATTGCCAAGGTTCAGTGAAGTATTACCATCTTATACATGCTAACTCCACACTTATTTTATCTACTTTAAACAACATCAGTTGTGGCTTTTGACTGGAGATATGATTGTAGGTATGAGTGATTTGCTGTCTCCCTTTGTTATTCTTTTTGAGGATAATGCTGATGCCTTTTGGTGCTTTGAGATGCTTCTAAGGAGAATGGTATTTGTAAACTTCGAAATATTTTCTTTTGCTAAACAATTCTAGGTTTGTCACTTACGTAGCTGTTCACACCTCTCCAGCGTGAAAACTTTCAGATGGAAGGACCAACTGGTGTCATGAAGCAGTTACAAGCTCTATGGCATATTTTGGAACTCACAGATAGGGAAGTATTTGCTCATCTGTCACATATAGGTGCTGAAAGCCTACATTTCGCCTTTCGGATGCTGCTGGTACTCTTCCGTCGGGAGTTGTCTTTCAATGAGGCTCTTTGTATGTGGGAGGTTTGTGCTTGGAATTACTCTTAATCACTAGGAATCAGTAATATAATACGAGATTATGATTGAATCTTAATGTTTTGATGGTGTGGGCCTCAATGTTCATTAGATTGATAATTGAGCTAACATGATTGCTTGTGGAAGAGCCATGGGCCTCTACTGAATGGCAATTGTTTCAGTTGCTGACTGCAAATTTACTGTGCAGTAGTACGAAAAGGTCCATGCAAGAATATACTAGAGATATGTGAGTAAAAGGGATACTCGAACTAAGAGTAGAGCCCCATATATATAGTAAAATAATAGTATAAAGTGATCTGAACACCCTCTGGTCTAGGCAAAATATAAAAGTTATAGTAAGGGTAAAAAAGAAAAAGAAACCCTAATAAATTAGACTATAACTCCAACACTCCCCTTTAAGTTGGGCGCAAAAATATCAACTAAGTCAAGTTTGACAATGGAGTCTTGAAGAATGGATAGAGTGATAGGTTTGGTGAAAACATCTACAACCTGATCACTGGTCCCTATAAACAATGGATTGACAATACCATAGCTAACCTTCTCCCGAAGAAAGTGAATATCGATCTCTATATGCTTCGTCCTCTTGTGTAGTATAGAGTCAGAAGCGAGCTAAATAGTAGATCGATTATCACAATATAGTGTGGATGGAGAAGTCACTGGAAATTCTAACTCGCCAAGAATTGATCATAGCCAGATGATCTCACAAGTGCCAAGTGGTAGTGTCTGACACTCTGCCTCTGCTGATGAGCGGGAGACAATTGCGTACTTTTTACTCTTCCAAGAGATAAGATGAGTCCCTCGAAAAGCACAGTAGCTCATAGTAGATCGACCGTCACACGCTCTCCCATAATCTGAATCTGAATAACAGGCTAGAACCAATTTGAGATCTTGATGCATAGAACAACTCAAGTCCAGGACAAGATTTAAAGTACCGAAGAATATGATAAATTGCATCAAGATGAGGTTGACACAACTTGTGCATGAACTGACTAACTTGGCTAACAGCGAATGAAATGTCTGGCCTAGTGTTGGCTAGGTAGATAAGTCTACTTACCAACCTCTGATAGTCAGTTAGATCTCTCAACTCCTCACCTTCAGCAGTGAGCTTCATGTGTGGAATCATGGGTGATGATACCGGTTTGCACTTCAGCATCCCAGTGTCCGAGAGAAAATTCAGAACATATTTTCTCTGAGAAAGAACAATATCCTTACTGCTACGGGCATCCTCAATTCAAAGAAAGTATCGCAGAAATTTAAGGTTCTTCAAATTGAATGCCTTTCCAAGGTCTACCTTGACCTGTGTAGTCCCAGAAACATCATCCAAGTAATAATAATATCATCCACATACTCTAAAAGGATGACACACTGTCCATAAGTATTCCGTCGAATGAAATATGTATGATCAGAATGACATCTGGTGAATCTTAAACGTACAACTATACTGCTAAAGCGAGAAAATTAGGCTCATGGTGAATGTTTGAGTCTATAAAGAGACTTACGCAATCAACACATCTTCCTAGTATATTCCCCCACACCACGAAAGTCCGGTAGTGTATCCATATAAATAGTCTCGTTCAGTTCATCATGAAGAAACACATTTTTCACATCCAACTGGTGAAGAGTCTAAGAGTACTCCGCAGCCAGAAAAATAATTAAGCAAACGGTAGTCAATTTTGCCACGGGGTAAAGGTAGCACCAAAATTACGACCTGATACTTGAGTAAATCTCTTTGTCACAAGCCTAGCCTTATGATGCTCAATAGTACCATTCACAAAAAATTTTTGGGTGTAAACTTGGGACAATGGCGGTGGTTGTAAGGTGGTGGTGGTAGTGGTGGTGGGGGTAGTGGGTTGGCGATAGTGGTGGTGGAGTGGTGATAGTGGTGGTGGTGGAGTGGTGATAGTGGTGGTGGTGATGGTGGTTATTGTGGAAGAGGTGGTGATGAGGTGACAACGGTGGTGGTGGTAGGGCAGCGGTGGTGGGAGGGTGGTGGTGGTAGGGTAGGGTGGATGCAGCGGTGGTGGCAGGGCGATAGGGGTGCTGGTAGTGGTTATTGTGGTAGTTGGTTGGTGGGTGTGGTGGTGGTGGGGTGGAGACAGTGGTGATGGTGGTAGTGGTTATTGTGGCGGAGGTGATAGTGTGGTGGTGACGGCGATAGTGGTGATGGTGGTGGTAGTGGTAGTGGTAGTGGTAGTGGTGACGGCGATAGTGGTGGTGGCTTTACCCCTGATGGTAAATAAACAAGATCCCACGTATGATTACGCTAAATAGCGTCCATCTCTGTTTGCATGGTAAGAATCCACTGGGGTTCCCGCATAGGAACCGACGTATTTGATAAGACCATACTATAAGCTCAAAATGTAGGAGACAGATCACCATAAGAAACATAACCAGGTATCGGATATAAAGTCTTGGCGATCCAACCATAACGAACAACTGGACGATGATCACGTTGCGGATAACTACGCATTAAATCATCATCCTCTACTGACAATGTTTCATCAGGTAAAGTAATTGGCTCACTACCTGCAATCTCATCAGTATTAACAACAGGTGCATCAATATGCTCAATAAACTGAGAAATATTATCTGCATCGCCTGAGTTAGAGGGTACATCATCAGGGGGATGAGAGCGACGACGACAAACATAGACCTGCAAAGGAGGTGAGACTGGTGACTGTGGTGATAGGGATGAGTGGCACTAGAGGAGGAGAGACTAGTGACTTAGTAGTAACAGTGACCAATGACTCTGGCTCCTGTGGTAATGAAAAATCAAAGGGAGTATCATCAACTGGAGGGGTAGACACAGGACTAGAAGAAAAATAAGGAATATGCTCAAGAAATGTAATATCTAGACTGTGATACATACGATGCCCGAAAGGATTATAATACCGATACCCTTTAGACTGATGATAATAGCCCAAAAAACCCAACAAATCACTTTATCATCAAGTTTATAACGAGTAGGAGACTTATCTTGAACAAAATATGTGCAGCCAAAAACACGAAGGGGGACTGAAAAAGTGTCCGCTCAGGAAATAAGACCTGTAAGGGAGCTCTATGCTGAATAACATGACTTGATGTATGATTGCATAGAAAGGTAGAAGTCAAAATAGCAAAATATCAACAAGATTTTGGTACCCCCATACATTTAAGCATACAATGTACCATTTCTATCAGACTTCTATTTTTCCTTTCAACAATTCTATTTTGTTCAGGAGTATATGCATAAGTGAGCTGTTAAAGGATATCTTGAGAAGAAATGTGAGACACTAAGACACCAGACATATTCTTTAGCATTATCCGAATGAAGAGTATGAACAATAACATCGAATTGTGTCTTAATCATCTGGAGAAACTGAGTGATGATAGGGAGTACATTGGACTTCCTATACAAAAGGTAGACCCAAGTACAACAGGTATGATAATCTATAAATGTCACATAGTATCGGGCACCTGACAGAGCAGTAATATGAGAGGGTCTCTAAATATCAGAGTGTATTAGGTCAAATGGCTTGGGTGACTGGTGCATGCAAGGAATATAACTGCTCTTAACATGTTTTGATAGGGAACATATAACCTAATCAAGTTTACCACCAATACAAGCATTACTCAAAGTAGGAAATAACATAAATAAATATTTAAAATTTGTATACCCAAAACGGTCATGCCATAACTAAACATTTTGTGACAAAAAATCATAACGACAACTATTAGGTAAAATACTAGTATGCAAGCTAGGAACAGATAAAGACGAAGCAGGTGCAGGTGATGTAGGTGGAGGAATTGAAGGTGGATCGCCTAGATAATACAATCCATCTCTCTCATGTCCACTAATAATAATCTTCTTGGTTTTCAGGTCCTGCATATAACATGAATCATATAAGAACACAACCGTACAGTGAAAATTGCTGGCTAACTAATGTACAGATAATAGATTCATGGCCAGCTTTGGTGTATGAAAAATCAAACGTAATGTAAAGTCATCTGGGAGGTGGACTGTACCCCTACTAACAATAGGGACATGTGTCCCATCTACTAGCTGAACCTGTGTATGTAACTGCTCTTCAAAAGTGGTGAAGTGATGAGTCTTACCTGTCATGTAATCGTTCGCACCCGAGTCCAGTATCCAAAAGACAGACGAACTGGCACAAGCATGAAAGACACGAGGTATACCTATAGTGGTGACAGCAACAGTAGTCAAATCTTGAGAAGTCAGAGCGGACATAAGTATATCCAATCGGGAAGTGATAGTATCCATATCACTTTACCAATAAGGAGTAGTAGCAATAGTAGGAACAGCGACAGTAGGTGGTGGTACCTCAACAATAGCAGCAGTACGGTTGTAAGGAGGCGGTTTAAGCTGCGGATGGAGCTTCCAGCAAGTATCCTTGAGATGTCCTTATTGGCCACAATAATCACACTAATGAAAATTTCCCTGTCTGCGTTGATCTGGGGTGCCCTGTCGGCGTTGATTTGAGCGTTGTCCACCCTTGGCTGAGGATCCTGAACGAGACCCTGCAGTAGCTGCAAGGGCCATCTAGTCGGCCCGAGGAGTTAAGGTCGCAATTGGAAGTGATGCAATATGGATACGGCATTCAAACTGCTCAATTATCGCATATACCTCATAAAAAGATGGAAGCCTCAGTATCGATAAGATCTGGGAACGAGATCCCTCAAACTCGTCATGAAGTCCCATAAAGAACTTATAAATCCTATTCTCCTACTCTCGAGTATGTAAGAATGCCACTCCTTTGGGCTCGATCCTCGGAATTGCAACAAGAGGACAGAGAGTCTCGTACTCAAGCTAACGCTGGGTTAAATAATCATAATAATCCTGAACTGTCATATCTCTCTGCCGAGCATATAAGAGCTTCTGAAAAAGCTCATAAACACAGACTCCTTCTTGATCGGGAATACTTCTCTAATAATGCGTTCCATAGCTTCGGAATAGAGCTATGAAATTGGTGAATCCAGCAAACAGATGGCTCCATCGAGTCAAATAACCATCCAAGAATAGCGCAATTCTCAAAGAATCACGCAGAATATTCAGGGTCGTCATCAGCTGGCTTTGGGTGAGATCCCGTCAGCCAACCAAGTTTCCTTACACGGCCTGAGAAAAGCTGGAATGAGCATGACCACTCAGCAAAGTTACGACCATTCAACAACTGTGTCATAACTTTCTGAGAG